AGACTTGGTTGAAAGAATTGAAAAATTGTTGCACCACAGACCGAAGGGCATCAATAATCTGATGCCTGGGAACATTGTTGAAAAAGCCAATGAGATCATCATTCCATTCACAAAGTTCGAGTTCAACAGGGGCCTCCCGCAGAAACTGATGCAAAAGCCCCCACAGCTTTGGCATAGACTGTAGCCCGGGCGCGTTTGGCCACAAAGACTCAAGCATGGAGGTGATTGCCAGCGAGGCCGCTGCCAGCAATTTGCTCAGCAGGGAGGATCTGTATGAAATGATTGTCCTGCCTTTCAGGAACTGCTTTTTCCGTTTCAGGAAAACCGTGCCTTTGGGGAGAAGCGCCTGGGGTGAGACGCCCCAGGAATACTTGGCAGTAACAGTGTGTGGCAGCCTTGACACTGTCTGGGACTGCCAATACTCTTCTGTGCCGTCCAGCGGCGTGAATACCTGAGGATCACACCATGTGTCCACAACAGCACGGCAATAGTGCCGGGGGACAATACACCACTAGGTGGTTGGGGTGGTGATCTTCATTGTAAACCACAAACCGGGAATCCAACGCTGACTTGCCCTTGTGTACCAGGGCCCAGTGGAGCCTAGAAGTTGACTCCAATTCTTTGCGATGTGCGCTCCACTGTTCTTCTAGAAACGAAGCATAGCACCCACTCAAAGTTGCAGGCAAGCCGTTTCTTGTTCGCCACAGAGAAAACATGCGGCCCATTTCACGCATCCAGAAATGCTTGCCAGGAAAAAATGTGCTGGCCGCACTGCCGCTGCTTACAGGCTGTAGCGATGGCACTGCAACTGCAAGCTCCTCAATACCACAAGCAATATGCCCATGCACGAAACAGCTTGCTGGCAACCGGGACGAAAACTCATGGCAGCAGCAAGGCAATTGTTCTGGCTGGGTTTGCGCGCCATTCATGCGCTGTTCCCAGTGCTTGAAATTCTGCAAGAAATTCTTAAGACTTTGGTGAGGGATTTCTCTCACAGTTGGTCTGGGAACATGAAATGGTGGCAACATCCACTTGTACTGTTGGATGACCACGCTGAGCCATCGCTTAAGCTGTGCTGAAAAGTCAGAATGAGATAAAAACAGAGCAGGTAAAGCAGTGGGCCTCCGTGGCCATACCATGTTGCGATGTCTGGCGACGCCCCTCAGCAATCGCCTGACTCTGCTCTGGGACGGTTGCTCTAAAGCATTGCTGAGACGGATAATTGCATAAACTTCCGTGTCCACAAACCTGTACGACCGCAGTGATTTTGCTGCTTCGAAAGACTGGCGGGTGAAGGATGCCAAGTCATACAATAACTCCCACGCCTGTTTGCGCTTCACAGAGACTGTAAAAAGTCGGCGCTGACCATGCAGCCGTTTTCGTAGCTTTCTCCACAACCGGAGTCCAAACCGCGCATACGCTCCTGCCCTGTGTCGTGAGCTATGTCGGAAGCCAAGAGCAGTCTTTTTCAAAACTTTGCATGCCCAGGGATAGTTCAACCATGGCTGCCACTCTGAAATGACAGAATGCTCCAAACACCACGCGTCGCGATATGACGCACACGTGGCTAAAACAATTGTACAGTAGTCAGAAAGATTTCCGTGGCTGTGCCAATATCTGAGAGCTAGCTCTGCATCGACACATTTTGTGCGTGACATTCGCCTATACACAGCCATGCGGTTCATGTCTCGTTTCGCCGCTCCAACGGAAGTGCTGCCCACGTACAGCATGGGAGAAGGCTGTCGGTAGCACAGCACACTGTGCCGGTATCGCAGATCCACTTCAAATTTTACATAGACAGCGTGCAACTTGCAAAAGGTCAGATAACTATAAGTGGCTGGTGAAACGTTAAATTGTCCAAGCTTCTGTCTTAGCCTGGCCCCGTACGCATTGTCTGATCTGAGACTTTCAGATTGGGAGAAATGAAACAACAGCGTGAGCACCAACAATCCATGCGCCCATACAAGCGGAGTCTTTGACACCGCGGGCACCTCATGCATGAAAAAGGTCATGGCCTGAGCAAGCGTTAAAATGGAAAACAGCAATGTGTGCTTACTTTGCCAAGACATATGCGGCAACCGAGTCTGTGCTTGAACAGAGAGTCAAGCAGCCTCAAACTGACATGCTCCAATCACCGCTGTGAGATTGCGTATGTTCATACGCGTGACCAGCTTGGAGTCCAGCCCATACTGCTGCGCAACTTGCTGAATGTCTGCCTTGCTGCAGTGGGTCTTCAAGACCTCCTGCACATTTTGCACATGCTTACGGAAAGCGGCAAACTTGCCTTTAAATTGCTTCTTGTACTGATCCAGCCATTCTTCGACGGCCGTGTCGGTACTGCCCGCAGGTTGAACCGAAACAGGACGAACAGCTGGCTTGCTCAAAATGGTATGCCCGGGAGTTGGGGGCCAGTCTGTGGGGCCCGATCCCTTGACCCGCTTGGCAGGTTGCGAGCCATCCGGGGCTTCGCCCGCTTACGAGGGGTCAGAGTGATCCCTGCTGCTGCAAGCTTAGCCCGCGCTCGGGATAACTCGTCAGAATCTTCAGTTTCAACAGAAGGGGCCAGAGACCTGAGCTGGTCAACCACACTTTGGATCAAGGGCTGCATAAACTTAGCACTTTCTTTGTGCTTGTCTGGCACCGCGTTTGACGCGTGCAAAGACGCAGCAATGCGGTCAATGTTCAAAGATTGCTGTCGGATTTCCCGTAGCAAATGGGAAACTAGCACGCCTTCACTGATGCTTTTTGTGAAGACTACGCCTTGGTAAGTTCCCTCAGAGATCAAACGCAATGAGTACTCTTCAATGCCCTTTCTGGCAAGATCAACAACACGAAGATCTTGAATGGGCCTTCCGGCCAAATCGTTCTTGACTGTCCATGGTGTGGACTGGATGTGCTTAAACAATTGATGCCCCCCAATGGCATTCTTATCCAAAAAATCACCATCGGATCGGAAAGCTGCCGGAAGCTTGACCGGTGGGGGTGTGGGAACTTCCGGCTGAGGCTTTGACTCATGCCGGTGGGCTTGCCAATCGGCTTGCGTCCATTCTTGGTTCTTGGACCCATGGTCCCAACGGCTGTTCCAGCCCCAAGAGCTGTTGCCGTTGTTGGTAGAAGCGGTGTTCCACCACGAAGACATCGTGTGATCGACTGAACACTTGCTAGGGTCTTGGGATGTGAGGTGGACAGTCTGCCGACTGCGATTGGAGCCGAAATCTGACGGCAAACTTGCATTCACGCATTGTTCTTTGAAAGAACACACACTGGGCACCAACTCTCAAAGAGTGTCAAAACGGCATCCCTCCTCATAGGAGTCTCAAACAGGCAGCCCTCTTAGCTCAAGAGTGTCAGAACAGCATCACTCACTTCTGTGAGTATCAGGTCAGGCTACCCTGCCGCAGACGGCCCGATCAACGAACTACCGTCTGGATCACACTTGTGTAACATCCTCGGACCCTTGCACAAGCTGGTGTCTACAAAGTGTCACTTTGTCAAATCATCAAACCATCAAACCTGCTGACAGGAAGTCTTCAATAGGAAGACCGATTCACGGAAAAGGCTTTGCAGGTACGTCCACCTCGCGTCCGAGGTGGATTTCACATCCTCTACAGCAGCGTCTTTGTTAGGCAGCGACTGCTGTAGGGACCACTGCCCCCCTGCGCTGTACAAAAGGAAAACTGTTCCTGGCCGAACCAGTCAGAAAAGGTTTCGAAAAACGAAAGCCAAAATGTACCCTGTCTGCGGCGCTATGCCACGCGCTGGAAAAAAGATTCGAGAAACGGACGCAACGTAGACCTCGTTCGGCTTTCTCAAAACGTGGGAACCCGAAACGGAAAGAGACCAAAAAGGCTTTCCCAAGACGCCGATTCCCCCAGGACACAGGTGGCGAGGAAGTTGCTGAGGCTCTCGCCTGGCACAAATGAACTGGGGTTTGTTCCCTTGGAAACAGGGTTGGACACACACACACACACACACACACACACACACACACTAACGCACGCGCGCGCGCGCCACTTTATGGCTTTTTGCTGCTCTGACAGGCGGCAACATCTTGTGACAAGCGGAGCTTCGAACACGATGTGTGAGGAAAAAAGCTGAGCGATGTTTTTTGAGAAGTTGCAACATTTATCAAGTCGACAAGCAGATTGCTGGCTGCATGATTATATGTCCTTCCTATTTCTGCAGTGTCTCCAACTAGCGTAGGCGTAGGCGGCTTTGCAGGACGCATGGCGCTTCTTTTGAAGCCTTCCGAGTACACGGGCCAGAAAGGCACAGCTGTGGCTGGCCGGGTCGTGATGCTCACCGAACAAGAGATCAAGTGCAAAGCTTCCGCTGCGAATGCCGCGGCGCCGAAGCAAGGCAAAGGCGGCAAGGGCAAGAAGACGCCAGACTCGGCTACTTTGAAGCTGGAGATCCATCTTGCTGGCGCCGAGAGCGTGAACGAGGTGCTTTATGTGGAAGCTTGGGGGGAGCAGGCGGGCCATCTGAAACAGAAGCTCGCCCAGGGGGACTTGATTTCGATTGCTGGGGCGACGCACATTCCGGCTGGGCAGAACTACTCGACTTCGCGGCTGCCGTATCACTTGCGGGTGAAGGGCACGGTGGGTGTGAATGTCATCGTGCAGAAGCTGGACGCTTTGCCTTGGCCGAACGTGCCAGTCTTGCATCCCTTGGTGCCGCTTCGTTCTCTGGACCGGGTGAAGGAAAGGCAGCAAATCTGCGTCGCGGTGCAGATTGAGGAGAACCCGGGCACGGTTGAGAGGGACACGGCAGCTGGCAGAGTTCCGGTATGCAACGCAGTCGTGCAGCAAGAGGGCACGCGCGTTCGGTGTGTGTTTTCTGGCGAGAGCAAGCGGGCATGCTGGCGGCGAAAGGCCCTGGTGAGTGCGTCCTCTTGTATTTGGGAGCTTAGTAGCTGGCGCGCTACTCAGGTTTTGGATTGTCCGCCCGACAAGGCGGCAGAGATTTGAGGCGCTCTGCGGAATGCGGAAGACTGCAGGATGCTGACCGAAGTTCCCATCCGAGACTGGGCACAGTGCGAAGCCGTGCCAAGCACCCTGAGCGCGCTGGTGGCTGCCATTGCGCCGGGCCACCTGCGGCAGATGAACACTGTCTTCAAGGTCTGGGGGCTGCAGGTGATGGGCGTCAGCTCCGTGAGATCCGAAACGGATGAGTGGGTCCTCAAGTCCTGCAGCAAGTGCAAAAAGGCAGCGCCTTGTCAGGCGGGGCTTCTCGCAGCCTGCGCTGGTCTGCCTGATTTCATGTCCACTGTTGCCTAAACGAGCCCCGATAATCATTAAGCACGTAAGTTTCCTTTGTGTCTGCTAGGCTCATGCGGATGCTGCCCTGGAGCCACGCATGGCTGTGCGAGCCGCCTTTGCTGACTCTGACTGCCAATGTTCCATGGTGCTCTACCACGACCTTCTCACGGCGGTCTTGCAGGCACAGAACCACCGATTGCCGGAGCCACTCGCCGACACAGGCGACATGCGCGCTACCTTGCGCGATGCTTTGCGCAGCACACAGTGGCTTTGCAAGCTGACGTTCCGCGAGAACGATCACCAGCAGGTCCTGGAGCTGGAGTGCAGGCATCTGGAGCCATTCTTGGAGCCACAAAAGCCCGCAGAAGACTTGTCGCGCTTTATGCAGGCTTTGCCGCGCTGTGCTCTTGGCAAAGGCTGCCCCGTCGCGTCTCTGGATGTGCTCCAAGTGGACAACGACTTGGGTCTGCTTCGCGCAGGGCTCTTGGACGCTTCGGCGGCGCGGGTGCTCGTTGCCTTCAACGACGTCCAGCTTCCGGACGAAGAAGCTCTTCAACAAGATCCACAGTTGGCCTCCGCCATGCGAGTGAAGCGCTCTGTCGACTGCTTGCTTGCGCCAGCTCAGCAAGGCGAGCCAGTTCGAGCAAAGCTGCGCGCGGCTGGGCCGGCTTCCGCTGTCAACTGGATCTTGCGAGGCCGCCCGGGAGAAGTTCACCAAGTTGTCATCATGCAGACCGAGAGCGCGGGCGAGTGGGGTGTTCTTTGGCGTGTCCCTGTTGCCAACGAAGCTGTGGCATCTTTCGTGACCTACTGGCAGTTCGTCCTCACTTCCCAGAAAGACCAGGACGTGCTTCTCTTCCAGTCTGAGTGGACGCCGGGAAAGCGCGTTCGCACGGTGAGAGACCACATGCCATCCGCGGCCAAGAGGTCGAGCGCTTGGCGCAGCCCGTAGATGTTTTTTTTCTTTGCTTCATTTTGCGCCGCCTACTCCCATGCAAGCTACGCGACCCAGAAAGGGAAGGTGGTGGTATCGGAGTAGCCGCTGGAATCTGTCGACGGTGGCCAGCTTTTTGATTGAGAAGCATTACTTTAAGCTGAAGAAGAAAAAAAGAAGAAAAAACCTTGCACTGAGCCAGTCACGCACTTTAGCCATGCGTTGAGCACAAGTGTCTTCCTACTCGATCCACAAAGGGAAACTTGCATTTACTTGCTGTAGCCACTTAGGTTGTCGGCCGCGCCTCGGCTTTTTTTTAATGGTGGAGCTGCGCCCTGGGTCGCTCGAGCTTGAGAATTGAGTTGACCTTTTTAGTTGAGCTTCTTGTTTGTCAAACAGTTTCTTTGGCATTGCAGACCTGTATAGACCTGGCTCCTAGCGACGCCTGGTTGAGCTCCTCTTGCAGCTATAGTCAGGACTACGTGGAGAGCATAGCAGAAGAGAGCCCCGATCCTTGCGGCGTTTGACTGCGGCGGCTTGACTGCGGCGGCTTGACTGCGGCGGCTTTCTCGTGCCCGCTGGCTGGCCTTGTTTTTCTCGGCGTTGAAGTCCTCTTCGCGCGCATATGTTACACATATACACTATTCGGCCGGGCGGAGGCCACGTGATGCATATGATCCATGGGCTTCGCATGACCGGCGCCCTGCCCTTGGAAGTCACTGCTATGTACTTGTTGATGAGACAATTCTGCAAGGCTCTCTTGATCTCCAAGATCCCGCGGCCATAGCTCAACAACCTCAGAAAGCCCGCGGCCATTCCAGCATGTTCAGCGAACTGTACCTGGCCGTGCCAGAACACGTCATCGACAGATTCGGACGCGTGGATGATCTGGAATTTGCTTGCATCTGCGGTCGCGGGAGCGACCTATATACGCTTGTAGAACCAGTTGCAATGCAAAGAAGCCCGCAGAAATGGGGTTCCGCTCTTGGAAGGCTTTCGTCTTGAAGTACTTAGCGCGTCACAGCGCAGGATGCATGGGGCCAGGCTGGGAGATACATGCTGCGCCTGACGCGTTAACACTTCAAGCCATATGTTAAACATATGCCGCTGACATATGCCATTGGCGATGCCAATGCGACCCCTCGATCTGCCAGAGCGAAAAAAAAAGTGCTGAGAGGTTTCGACATACCTGAGTGCGTGAAGGTTTTGCATGTGAGGGTCTTTGCATGTCTCGGATTTGGGATTATTCGCTGCTCGGCAGATGCAAGTGTCGCATACTTCAATAAGCATAGACTTGTGGGGTTATCCGGCCCTTTAATTTTTCTCTAAATTGAGACTTGGAACCCGGACTTCCTTCGAATTCCCGAATTCGACCCCAAAACGGTAGCAACTCGAAACGCCACACCCCCCACAAGTTTGAATAGTGTGTCGAACTGCGCTGGGCTGCAAAGACCTCAGGGTAGAAAGTTGCGCCCTGTAGGAAGCGAATCCCTTGTGCCAATTTGGGCTCGTCTTTTTCTGAAGACCTTCCTGTTTTATGGCTTTAAAAGGGAAACCACCAGGAAACCCGCTGCCATTTTTGGGGGTCCCAAAAATGACACGCCCCATTTGCTGCTCGGAGGTTTGGACATTCTGCGACCCCGCTCAGAGCACCTCTCATACATCTATGCGAGTCCCAGCGATCGAATCCTTTGAATAAAAGGGGAACCACCAACTTTCTTGCTGGTGCGATGGGTAGGGAATGTGGAATGAAGCTAGAGGTCTACCTTAAAGAAAACCGCAAGGGATGGTTTATAAGGGTCATTTAAGGGCCCTTGAAGCAAACCCAATTTGCCCCTTTGTTCCCGTCAGGCCTTGCCCACGTCCTTCGTGTACACTGAGAGACGAGACAGATCCACCTGAACGATTGCCAGACTCGCCGGAGTCTCTTAATGTCCCAGGATTCATAACCCGTCCCATTCTTTAGGGGGGTGTTCCCTCCAAAAGTGCTCTGAATCCCCACTGAAAGGGGACACACCCCTATTAACCAACCAGGGGTGTATTAATCCCGGGGTTAACATTAGTCGACATAGTTGAGGGGGCCTGCTGCGTGTTAAGTTGAAGCCATGGGGTCCAGAAAGCGCAACAATCATTGCCCATAGATATTTTCACACTATGGGTTCACACAGTCCGGACATGGATAGAATTTGCGACAACGAAAGGCCCGCCAGTGGAAGTTGTATGATCAACAGCCCTCAACGGTCTGTCCCGACCTCAACGGTCTGTCCCGGCCCACGCCACAAGCGCGAAAGTCCCAGAATGAAGCTGCGAGTACAGTGTCAGCTCGGTGTTGAGTTTGACCTGCTCTCACGGTCTGCTCCGCAAACCTTTACACCATGCAACGACCTGAGTCTATGTACACGCAAAAGCTCCGAACCCTGATAGCTATTCACGCACACCACACGGCGCAAAGCATTTGGATTCGTCCGTGCAGAGGCAGACATGTCGTCAGTGGACAGCTAAACCCACAATTACATCAAAGCGCCAATTGCAAACACGGTGGCTGGCTCGTTCCTCTTCCTTTCTCATAATTGTGGCAGATGGTTATGATCGCACGTTCCATCCACAGACCTGGTGATACGAAGCATCAATCGCAATAGTAAAACATGTGGATTTGGCATTGCGGAAACCACGTGGCAAAGATCGGCACCGTCTATCCAGAAGCTCCGTACGGGTGGCACGCCGCTCCCATGACCGTCGGAATCCGGTGTATTTTGAGATGACGCACCAGTGGCTGGAGCCGAGCCCCAGCTAAAAATCAGGCTGATCCTGTACGAGTGACGGGATGCACCCATTGCCCCACTCAAGATCACCACACTCACATCACGTGGCCTAAACCCTCCTGACAACCTGACAAACGAGGGGAAAGTGTATTTTGTCCAACAGACCTCAATGGTCTGTCCCGCGCCACAAGCGCAATGCTCTCACGGTATGCTCCCGAAACGTTTACACTACGCAATATGGAATGCCCTAAGTTTATGCAAGGGAGAGACTTGAACCAAATTTGGCCAACGCATGTAAACGATCCCAACTGCGAATGTCGCTTGATACCAATTCACAGACTCGTTCCTTGCAGAAGCTTGGGAGGAGCACGTCCTAGGGGTAGGAATTGGGGGTACATTGGATCTGAAAAGGGGCGTGGAAAGGGGGATTCTGTTTCTGAACTTGGAGCGACAAAGGGACAGAGGTCAACAAAATTAACGCGAAGTCGTCCCGAATTGCCAACTCCCCTGCAAATTAACATGGAACCACAAAGAAGGTCCCCAAATTCAGGTTCTTCCCGAAACAAGCGTGCGGGTCCCATGTCAACTGCAGTGGAGTATATTGACGAATTATCATCTGGGCAAACGAAAAACACCAGCCATGCCGTGGTCAGTTGGCTCCCTGAATCCATGCAAGGGTCAGATTGGTTGGTTGGTGTGTCTTTTCCCGGACGGCCCCCAAATGAGTCATAATCAAAACCCGGTACAAAAAATGGTGCACCCAGAACCACGTAAAGAACTAAGAAGGCGGCCGCAGCTATTTATGGTTGAGATCGTCCCTTACTAACCTTCATCTACCCGGGTTTTGATTGTGGCTCAAAATGGGACTTCGGTTTTCCTGTTGATTTCCCTTTGAAACCATCCAGACGGCGGTCAGGACAAATGTACTGTGGATGCGCCAGTTACTGGGGGGTTCTCCCAGTATTTATGGGGTTTCGTCCGTCCCAACCGGTGCGAAGCCGGATTTTTTGGTCCATCCGCCGTATGCTTCTTCCAGTCTGTTGCTTGAGCCCCCTCCCGCAGGCCTTCACCGTGTCACAGTCGCGGTCCGAGGAGTTGCAATCCTGCCTGCCCCAAAAAAACACAAAGCATTCCCAGCCACAAAAATGGTCACTTGGAAGTTTCTGGTATAGGAAGTGCCTTCAGAACCCTCACAAAGTCAGCCTCAACAAAAAGACCAACCTGAAAGAGGGTGCCTCTGAGCTCAGAACATGGCTCCATGTGGGGGGATATTCATTCAGGTTCCATTGGCGGGGAACCGCTTTGAGCTGATGCTCTTGGCAAAGCCACAGACTGACAAACCCTCGGTTTTGCAAGGCTGTCAATAAGGGTTTTTCCAAGAAGGTGGTGTTTTTCCGCCTTTGAACCCACCTGCCACAATTGAGGGTATGAGAGACTCCCGGAACCAGGAAAACCTGGTCTCAAGCTCTAGGAGCCAGCAACATGGGGTGTCGGAACGTCCGTTCCCTTCAAAACCGGACAAAGGCTGCACCTTCAAAAGACCAGAAATCCCAAATGGAAGCTGTGTGCTTGTGCTTGTGTGTGCGTCAGTTGCTCATGCCATCCCAGAAGGTGAAGCAGGTGAATTGGCTGCAACCTCTGCGATTCAAGTACCTTGGCCCCCTTCTGCTGCATCAAGAACCAGCGGTTCAAATCCCAAACGTCCAATTCCGAACAGGCGATGCTGAAAAACGTTTTGGAGTCCTGTCCGATGTGGGTACGTGTCATGCCCCAAAATGATTGGTTTTGGCTTTCCCGTTTTACCAAACTGAGAAGGGTTCCGTCCACAAAACGAGTACAGGTGTGTATATATATATGGTCACCCCCCCCCCATGATCCACATTTTGCCTCTTGCAAGCAAAAAACACTGGAAAAACACATGTAAAATTGCTTGTTTTTGACCACCTGTTCCAGGATCAGATTCTGATCCTGGAAACTTGGGTCAAAAACAAGCATCATTCTTGATGAGTAGATTAGTCAAAGATTGCGACATTCTTGATGGACAGATGTTAGGCAACTTGAAGCAGATGCTTACAGATGGTTTGTGTGGACAGCCTTCTGGAAAAAAAGTTAGCAGGGAGCAGATGGAACTTATGGAAGCAGCATGCAGAAAGTGCTGTACTGTCCCTAAAATCCAAAAACAGTCTTGGGCACACAAACCTCCTTCTGGCAAGGAGTTTTTGGTTTTTTAGGGACAGTACAGCACTTTTTTTGGTTTTTTAGGGACAGTACAGCACTTTTTTCCCGGAAGCATTGCGAAGGGTTCTTCTTCTAAAAGCGGCTGCCAACTTCACCTGCCAACTTCTCATGCCAACTTGTCGAGAGTTACTTCACCTGCCAACTTCTCATGCCAACTTGTCGAGAGTTACTTCACCTGCCAACTTCTCATGCCAACTTGTCGAGAGTTACTTCACCTGCCTACTTCTCATGTCAACTTTTTGAGAGTTACTTCACCTGCCAACTTCTCATGTCAACTTTTCGGCTGTTATCTCATTCTACTAAAAGCACAAGCTAATTTGTCGGGTGTTACTTCACTATCCTAAAAACACAAGCTAACTTTTCTGTTCTACCTTCACATCTCGACTCTTAATTCTTCTTCTTTTTATGGCGGGGGTAGGCCCGACGGGAGCTTACGAAACGCACCCCTCTGCGGAGATCGTGCGTGTCGAAGCGCTCTCGCTGTGGCGCCGTGCGAATTTGTCTTGACCTTGGCGAACCCTCTGCGGAGATCGTGCGTGTCGAAGCGCTCTCGCTGTGGCGCCGTGCGAATTTGTCTTGACCTTGGCGAACCCTCTGCGGAGATCGTGCGTGTCGAAGCGCTCTCGCTGTGGCGCCGTGCGAATTTGTCTTGACCTTGGCGAACCCTCTGCGGAGATCGTGCGTGTCGAAGCGCTCTCGCTGTGGCGCCGTGCGAATTTGTCTTGACCTTGGCGAACCCTCTGCGGAGATCGTGCGTGTCGAAGCGCTCTCGCTGTGGCGCCGTGCGAATTTGTCTTGACCTTGGCGAACCCTCTGCGGAGATCGTGCGTGTCGAAGCGCTCTCGCTGTGGCGCCGTGCGAATTTGTCTTGACCTTGGCGAACCCTCTGCGGAGATCGTGCGTGTCGAAGCGCTCTCGCTGTGGCGCCGTGCGAATTTGTCTTGACCTTGGCGAACCCTCTGCGGAGATCGTGCGTGTCGAAGCGCTCTCGCTGTGGCGCCGTGCGAATTTGTCTTGACCTTGGCGAACCGCGCGAAGCGCTCTCGCTGTGGCGCCGTGCGAATTTGTCTTGAGCCCGATGAACCCTCTGCGGGGATCGTGCGTGTCGGATCGCTCTCGCTGTGGCGCCGTGCGCATCTGTCTTGAGCCCGATGAACCCTCTGCGGAGATCGTGCGTGTCGAAGCGCTCTCGCTGTGGCGCCGTGCGATTTTCTTGCTCGCGAAACGGCTTTTGGAAGTTGTCTCGTGGTGTGCGCGCCTGCTTTCGCAATCCCGCGGTCCCGGGTTCGATTCCCCCCTGGTCCGCGGCAGCTCCGGCTTGAAAATCGCAGCTTTTAAGTACAAACGTAGTACGCGGAGCGTGCTCCTGCAGCTCCGGCTGGAAAATCGCAACTTTTAAGTACAGACGTAGTACGCGGAGGCTGCTGCAGCTCCGGCTGGAAAATCGCACTTTTTAAGTACAGACGTAGTACGCGGAGCGTGCTCCCGCAGCTCCGGCTGGAAAATCGCAACTTTTAGATACAAATGGCTGGAAAATCGCAACTGTAAATTGCAAATGTAGCACGCGGAGCGCCTCCGCCGCTCCAGCTTTTTGAGGGTTAATTACTTCACCTGCCAGTTTCTCATGCCGAAACTTCGAGAATTACTTCACCTGCCAGCTTCTCATGCCACCTTTTCGAGAGTTACTTCACCTGCCAACTTCTCGTGCCAACTTTTCGAGGAGTTACTTCACCTGCGAGCTTATCATGCCAACTTTTCGAGAGTTACTACACCTGCGAGCTTCTCATGCCAACTTTTCGAGAATTACTTTACCTGCCAACTTCTCATGCCAACTTTTCGAGAAATACTTTACCTGCCAACCTCTCGTGGCAACTTCACCTGCCAACTTTTCGAGAATTACTTCACCTGCCAACTTCTCATGCCAACTTTTCGAGAAATACTTTATCTGCCAACCTCTCGTGGCAACTTTTCGCAAAAATTACTTCACCTGCCAGCTTCTCATGCCAACTTTTCGAGAGGTACTTCACCTGCCAACATCGCCTGCCAACTTTTCGAGAGTTACTTCGCCTGCCAACTTCTCGCGCCAACTTTTCGAGAATTACTTCGCCTGCCAACTTCTCATGCTAACTTTTCGAAAGTTACTTCACCTGCCGGCTTCTCACGCCAACTTTTCGAGAGTTACTTCACGCGCCATCTTCTCGTGCCAACTTTTCGAGAATTACTTCACCTGCCAGCTTCTCACGCCAACTTTTCGAGAGTTACTTCACCTGCCAACTTCTCATGCCAACTCTTTGAGAGTTATTTCACCTGCCAACTTCTCATGCCAACTTTTCTCTTGAGTTACTTCGCCTGCCAACTTCTCATGTCAACTTTGCGAGAATTACTTCACCCGCCAACTTTGCCAGCCAACTATTCGAGAGTTACTTAACCTGCCAGCTTCTCATGCCAACTTTTTGAGAATTGCTTCGCCTGCCAACTCCTCATGCTAACTTTGCGAGAGTTACCTCACCTGCATCAACTTGCCTCTATGCTTCCGGGCCACTCGTCGTCTAGTTTGGTTTTTTAGGAACAGTACAGCACTTTTTTTGGTTTGTTAGGGACAGTACAGCACTTTTTTTGGTTTTTTAGGGACAGTATGCAAAAGTGCTGTACTGTCCTTAAAAAAACCCAAAAAAGTGCTGTACTGTCCCTAAAAAACCAAAAAAATCCTTGCAGCACTTTCAGCCTCCAAAGCCTGGATTTTAGGGAGAGTACAGCACTTTCTGCATGCTGATGCTCAAAAGTGCTGCACTGTCCCTAAAAAACCAAAAAAGTGCTGTACTGTCCCTAAAAACCAAAAATTCCTTGCCAGAAGGAGGTTTGTGTGCTCAAGACTGTTTCTGGAATGGTTTTTTAGGTTTTTTTAGGGACAGTACAGCACTTTCTGCCTCCAAGGCCTGGATTTTAGGGACAGTACAGCACTTTTAAGCATGCAGAAAGTGCTGTACTGTTTTTTAAAATTGTGGATGTGGGAAGGCAGTAGCAGATGTTTGTCACTCCGACGAGCTGGCTTGCATTTTTCTTGCCTTTTTCCTTCGAGCGCATATCCGGTAATCACTGCTTGTGCAGTGCCTGCAGCATCTGGCCGGTCACCTCCCACATATTAGCGCGGCGATGCCAGTATTCAAACTGTGCGGATCAGCTTTCGAACCTGACTGCCGGGGATTCTATTCGTGTGTTTCAGGTGAGATCGAAGGGTGTTCCAGAACCGGTCGATGATCTGGGTGCCGCTCTTCACACGCACCTTCTTCCCGTCCGGCAGCTTGACGTCGTACTGCTTGGTGTAGTGGGGCTTCACCCAAACGGCCTGACAGACAGGAATAACAGAATCAAGTAGATCCCTTAAGAGGCAGTTAAAGCAGTTTAGGTCAGAGTTACTTGCCTTGCCGTTGATGACGATGCGCTTCTTCTTGTGCACGACGTTGCAATGCCTCACGTCCGGCAACCTGAGCTTGTAGGCTCTGGCCCCATCGCTGTGGAGGATGACTTTCCGGCCCGCGATGTGCTTTTTCGCAATCGGCTGCCAGTCCCTCTTCCTGATGGGACCTGGCCCCGGAGATCTCTTTTTGGTGAGGATGGGGTTGAGCCTGAAGAGCACCAGCGAGGATGGCCTTCCTCGCTCCACGAGTCCACCCCACTGTTCCCATTTCGTGTTGAGGTTTCCCGCCACGCTCTCGTCGGTCAACTTGCCAATGTCGACCTCGTCCACCTCCACGTCCTCCCACTTCCCGCCGAAGACAATGTCCTTCTCCTTCTGGGTGACGTACTGCGAGCGAGCGACCTCCAGGTTGTGGTAGATGCGCTCCACTGGCTTGTGGTCCATATCCAGGAGCAGGTGCGCCGCATTGCTCGAGACCCCCACCACCGCGCAGAAGAGGACCGCCACCTGCTTCTGAAGTGGAGTTGAAGAATTGCCAGCAGACATGAAGAAGATGGGATGGTAGTCATGAGGCTGAAGTTGCTTGTGGCAGGCACGCTTCTTGCACCGGTACGCCCAAATCTTCTTGTCATGGTAATACTTCAGGGGCCCCATTACGCCGTTGCCACATCGAGGGCAAGTTCTGCCTTCCCAGTCTGTGAGGATCTTGTCCTTGTGGAGCTGCTTGTGGAGACGCTGTCCAGTCAAAGATTCCCAAGTCAAAATCGAACGCCCCCAGCGCGCTCTGTGGCCTTTGTTCTTGGTAGTGGGCATGCCATGGCGGACATATGGCACCGGAGCAGGATTCTTTGAGGCAGGCCTTCGCTGCACGCGCCACTTCCCCCGCTTAGGATCTGGGAACTTGGCCTTCACGGACTTCATGACCTTCTTTGGCATGATGGGCAAGATCAACTACAAAGGATCAAGGCGATTGAAGCAGATGGCTGCGTAAACGATCAATGCGATTCGCTTCCAAGCAACATGTGCAAGCAAGATGGCACTGGAGACCTAATGTTTTTTTAGCCAAGCTCCATGTCTCTATTGGGTTTATATTTCTATCTTCTAGAACAAAATCCGCTGAGTGCGGCTCACACGCGGCTCAGTTGTCGTCAATGTCCATGGCATCCGCGAGTTCTTGGGAAAGGGTTCGGTATGCCTCGATGTCATACTGGTCGGGAATCTCGTCCATAGGGTCCACCACATCAGGAGAAGAAGCCGGCAAAGGCACAAGGACCTTGGTCTCATCCACCACATCGGCTGCTGGAGGAGCTGTAGGGTCAGAAAGCTTCTCCACAGGGTCCACCGCATCAGCCGCAGCCGGTGCAGCAGAGGCTGGGTCACTTGCATCCTCAGACGTGTCTGACAGGTTGATCACCAGAGGGCGCAGGCTCAATGGCTTGGAAAAGTAGGAGGGATCCACTGGCTCTTGCTTGATGTGCACCTTATGCGTCTCCTCTGGTTCTTCTTTGATACCCTGCACGTCCTCATCCTTCTCTTCTTCTTTTGTTTTCTGCTCATCCTCGTCCTTCGGCTCGTCTTTGGCATCCTGCGCATCTTCGTTCTCCTTCTGTTCTTCTTTTGTTTTCTGCTCATCCTCGTCCTTCGGCTCGTCTTTGGCATCCTGCGCATTCTCGTTCTTGATCTCCTTGAGCAAGTTGGAAGAGGACTTCACAGATCGAAGCTTCTTAGTGGGCGGCTCGTCGACGGCAGCGCCAGCATCCAGGTAGTACTTGGTCTTGCCCTCAATGCCCGCGAGTGTTGGTCGATCTTCAATCCCTTCCTGAGAACAGTTCTTTCCCACGGGTGGTCGCACAATAGCGGACCTCCTCGCCATCCAGCGCAGCCTGCAGCAAGTTCAAACTCCACTGCATGTCTTTGTCATGATCTGCCGGCAAGTGAGAGAGGTTACCGCGCTTGTAGGCAGCCAAAAGGGGTCGGGCAGATGGAGAGATCATGCCAATATCCCGCTCTGGCCAGGCATACCGGGGAACGGGTTTGCGGTCTGTGCCTGGCACACGTACGTACATGCCCACATCGGTGAAGACGATGAAGGTGGATCGCTTGAAGACACCGACAAGGTCCTCTTCATCGAAGTCCCTGTGGAAGGAGGGGCGCACGATCTTGTAGAACTGCTCGAAGGTCACGGTGTCCTGAGTCGAATTGGCGTCCATCGGCGGCTCTGCAGTCCTGTCATAGGGATTACTGCAAATCTGGCATAGCTGATTCTTCGCGTACGAGGACGCGTTGTATCTTGCCATTGTCTTCCTGTCGACGCCGTCCACCTCCGTCACTGCCTTAACACCTGCGGGATGCTCCAGGTTGAGGTTGCCATCATCAAACACCCTCGGTTTCGTCCGCCTGCCCTTCTCCTTGCGGAAGTAGTCGAGGTGGTTGCATGTCTGAAAGCAAGGGCTGCCCTCCTTCTCTTCCTGAATCAACCAATATGCGGACACCACAGATGAGAGGGTGTAGGACACCGGGCTTTTACCCACCTGAGACTTGCCAATCCAGATAACGGAGTGGGACATCACATGAGGAAGAATCGGTGCAAGGATAGTGTTCAAAGCCCACGGCGTGATGCTCTTGAAGGTGAGAGGCCACTCCTTGATCGTATTAGCTTGAGAGCCTTGGTCCGCGAGGCACCTCAGGAACTCCTTGATGGTCCCCTTGTCCCACTTGTGGAGCGGGCCGTTCGGATCGTTGACCTGCTCCTCCGTCCACACTGTGAATTGCCCGTCGGAGTTTTCTTCCGGGCCAAACTGACGGATATAGGCGAAGCCCTTGCGGATGTCCTCCGTCTCTTTGGGCATTTTGCTCGAGGCACCGGCGGACACGAGCTTCTGGTAGCGGACCTGGAAGCCGCCCAGCCCCTCGAGCATGTACTGTAGTCCTCGACCACCATCGCGGTACTTGCCCTGCAAGTCGATCTCGAGTGGAACGCCCTGGCACATAGAGATGATGGAGCTGTGGAGGACCTTTGCACCTTCTAGGAATTTGATGTGCTTAATGATGTCTTTCTTGCCCCCTTCCTTGGGGATGATGAAAATCTGCATGTTGTAGGGGGCCTGGAAGTTCCCCTTCATGCGCACGGGCTCGGGTAGGTCGGCATACCGTTGTTGAAGGAACATTGTCTCTACCGCATTCAAGTCAATAGGCCCTTCGTGGTCAGCAATGACATCGAGGAACTGCGTCTTCTTTTTCACGGAGTCGGTGATTTCCATTTTAGCTGGCAAATCGCCTAGCTTAATGGAACCGGGCTCCTTGTTCACCACCATTGGCTTCTCCAGGTAAAGGATCTTCATGCCGTCGGTGTGGGCGATGGCTTCCTCCAATGTGCAGTTGCCGTCCAGGTTTGCGTTGTCGAAGGAACGAGCCAGCGACTCAGCACGATGAGGAGGCACAGATGCCATGATTGGAGCAGAAGGGAGTATCAGGAAGTTACCTCAAATTGAAATGGCTGCAGCAGAGTACACGGAAATTTGATGAGCTTGAGATGCAAGCAGTATGTTAATAGCCTCCATTGGGAGTTGGGCTAATAGCACTTCAGCCATTAGTTACACACTGCGGGGTCAAACTAAGGAGCCAGAGCTGAGACCACACACTGCAGCCATACCAAATGTGGATCATGGGGTTGGAATATCAGAAAGTTGCCCAGCTTAGACTCAGGCGTACATGGTCAGCAGGCTTTTTTCCTTGCGGCTTGGAAAACTGAGAGAGTAAAAGCAGTCCTAAGGACTGTCCCATAAAAAACTATGGCAAATGCCTCTCACTCATAATCAAGCCAAGTTCATTCTCTTGGAGGACGGTCTCCTCGCTCGCGCTGATCTTGAAGTGCAAGCCTTCGAAGCTGAACACTTCCGATCCTTAGATGGGCAAGAGCAGAAATGACAGCAGAAGGACCCCATAAGAAACTGCAGTTTTCGACTCGATGAAATCGGCCAAGTAGCCACATGGTAGATAACCTACTTTTGTAGGCCATCTGGATGGAGCGATAGGGCTCGGCGTGGCGCTCGTTGCCATGGCTGTTATTATTTTAACAGCCTCCATTGGGAGACGGGCTAAGAGTACTTCAGCCATTCAAATTAAGGAGCCAAAGCTGAGACCATACACTGCAGCAATGCCAAATGTGGATCATGGGGGGGGGGTGAGCATATATATATATACATATATAGATCATGTTTTATATAGTACATATATACATCATTATATATACAAATTATTGACATATATATATATATATATACATATATATATAATTACATATGACATATATATATATATATATGTTTCACGTTTGTGCCCCACCTGGCCGTGGCGTATTTTGAGACGTTCCTGAGCCCCGTACAGAGCATGGCGCGGACAGCCCTGAGGCACCTCCGCTCAAGGCTCGGAAGTTCCAGCTGGACTTGGAAGGTCCGTCGGGGGACAAATGGCTGTGGCTGTCAAAAACATGGAACCTGACAGAGGGTCCCTTCAAAAGGAAACCGGTCCAAACCAGGACCCCGAAACGTCAGGTTCCATGTGGCTGTTGGTCAACAGGGTAATTTTACAATGGAAACATGGGCTAAAACCTGCGGTCCATATCCTGGTGGTTGAATTTTGGCCCACACCCAAATGGGTGGCTCGTCTTTTTGGGTCTTTTTCAGGTTGGACCCCCAACAGTTGGCGGGATTCCTTGGCTGAGACACATGGTTCTGTCCTTCTTAGGTTGGACCCCCATGGGTGGTTTTCCTTGTGGCTCTGGAAAAACCAAAGCGGGGACAGACCCGGATCTTAGTACTCAAACAAAATGGAGGGTGGAACCCGCTTGACTAGGGCTCCGTTCAAAACACGCGCCATGGGGCTGCATCAAAATGTCCTTCTGCCCCCTCCGGACGAGCACCAAGCCTCAACTTGAAAACAAAACAAGGTCATCCAAAAAATATGACCGTGCTTCTCAAAGTCCTATGAGCAGCCATCTTTACCATAGCTCGCGCTCCTCACGAAATTCGAGTGTGTCCAATTTCCCATGTCCTTCCCAAAGGAATCACAGTACCCTAGGTCCTCCGGTAGAGAGGTTAGAATAAGGGTACCCTTTTTTCTGTAGTCTATTTTAGTAGGGGAACCCTCCCCAAAAACGGCTTTACAAAGTATCCGTGTGTTCGTCATTTCAAACCAACGGTTTGGCAAAAGTCGTTTTTTTGTTTCCCGGGTGTTCAGCTAGCTCAACAGTACAAGACCAGTCGTGTGGATGGCCGAGATCCTGCCCCCAGTTGGTTTGTCTCAGTGGTCTTGGGGATTCATGCATCTCAACCATTGCAAGGTGGATTTCGTCCATCCACAGTATGGTCAGCTCACTCTGGACAAATCATCCCATCCTACTAGAAGGTCGACTAATAGCTCCCCACAAACAAGGGGGGCGCGCCTCCCCCCCAAAAAAAAAAACAGCAGCGGGTTGTTTCATCCGGCCTTCCCCTTGCGGATCAAAACGAGGAGAAAACAAAGTGGCCCGGTGGTGCTGGGCCCGCGGCGTTCCCCATGGCGTCACTCCCTTGCCATCGAGGGTCGGGGCTTGAAACTTGTTGGAACTAAGACCCTGTCACCTTCTGTCCGAATGAACTTTGGCCGGAAGTGGTCAACCATGCATCTTTTCCATTGTTTCCAAAATAATTCGAGCACCTGGGATAAGGGAGCCCCAACTGTGACCCAGAGGGGGGGGCAGACGCATGCTCGCGCAGGTGTGGTTCCGTCTGCGTTTCACCGTGACATCGAGCCAAACCCTCACACTCCGACTCTTGAGCCAGACAGCCACACTGCGCCGCGCAAGTCGGCTTCGGCAGCTCGGTGTCGGCGGATGGGAAGCAAAACGCAGTCCAAAACCGCCAAAACCGCTTGGGATGTGCATGCCCAAACACGGCGTAAGATGCGCCTCACCCAACCAAAACAAGAGGCCAGTCAAACGTTCAAGGCCAGTCGGGCACCCAAAATGTCCATCGGAGAAAAAAAAAGAAGAAAAACAGCTCGCTCGGAGGACGCTTCGGAAAAAATCCATGTGGACCGGAAAATCCCACTCTCCAGTTGGGATGGATGCAGCCCGAAACCCAAGTGGTTGATAGACCACCAATCCGGTCCAACTGCCGCGAGCGAAAATTTTGTGAACCCAAACCCCCCAGACTCGTAGGTTTCGTGTGCCGCGGGACACGGGTTTTCTCTTACCCCACCCCCAAAAAGGCCGGGTTAGACGAGCAGAACACCCGCAAAATAGGGCAAGGGTGCGATTCAGCTTTGGCTTGAATCAACCTGTTTCTTGCGTGAAACCCCTTTTTGGATTCTTAGAAACCAAAAGGAAACCTGCACCATTCCGAGGGTCCAACGGGAAACCATGGCTTGTTATCATTCCAGGGTTTCCTAGGATTTATGGATGTCTTCCATCCACGGTAGTGCATGTGTTTTCCCTTTTTTTTCTGTGGGATCGGGTGAAAGCGGATGGCACAATTGCCGATGTCGGCAATGGAGATGCCTAGGCCAAAATGGGGAGGATCTCCCATCTACTTTTCCCCAACTCGTGAGAGAAATGGTAGATCCCACATGGACTGAATTGAAGACATTCAAATCTGCATCGTTTCAACCCACACCTCGGGTCTTCAACCCATAGTTCCAGGAAGGGAAGGAGATACCCCCAATTGCACCAACTTGATTCAATCCACACCAAAGAATTCCCCTCTTGTCACAACCGCAATCCGAAAGGGTTGGGGTTCGTGTGTTTCGTTGCGTCGAGCTTGTGTTTCATACCTGGAGTAGACAGAACATCACATCTGCTCTATCTACACATCCTTTTCAAGACCCAGAACCCCGTAAACCACCCCTCTCCCGCATGGCTGTGACCAAAAATGTACCAAAATGGCACCTTGCTAAATGGAACCAAAAGCTTCCACCTCTAATTTTTTGAGAGCCACACCCACATGGGGGGGAGGAAAAAATAGAAACCAAAAAAAAAAAACACGGAGAAAAAAAAGAAACACAAAAAACAAAAAGAAGAAACAAAAAACAAAAAACGGCGCCCCAACTGCCCGGCCCCGGCCCCCGGATCCCGCGCCCAGTGGGATCCCTGCAGCTGCTGGGCGCGCTCCAGGTCCTCCTCGATCCGCACCACACAGCCCTCGCGGCCGAAAAACACGACCCCATGAGGGCGGCCGGAAAACGAGCGAGCCCTCGGGGCAAAAACCCAGGTCTCTTCGGCAAAAAGCTTACTATGTTTTTACTATTTTTTGTGAATTTGGTGGACAACCGGTTTGATTTCCCCAAGGTCGAAGTTGGTTTTTTGTTGGGTTTCGTGGACAACCGGCTTGATTTTCCAAAAGACAAAGTCTCAAGATCCAACCAAAAGCAGTCAAGAGATTGTGTGTCTCCCCACTTCCTTTTGAAACCACAACATGGGAGTTGATCAAAAGGTCCTCTACATGGGAAACTGAATGGGAAATAGTTCCCCATCATTTGGGGGCCAGGAATATTGATCAAGCCTTACACGAGGAGCCCCCCGTACATAACACACGAAGCCACCAAGCCATGGGCAAAATCATGGTTGTTGCACCTTCAGTTTAGTTCAGGTGAGCTGACAAAAGTCTATTGTTGGTTAAGGACATGCAGAAAGGGACTCCCAATAAATTTCGGGGTTCCTTGTTTGGTTTCCCTGGGAAAAAACAGCACCGAAACGAGGGTACCCTCAAAAAAAGACACACCCACTTAGACTCTGGCTGGGTGTACAGGCTTTCAATAGGAAAGAGAAGAAAGCCATATCTGACACCAAGCCCAAACCTGGCCGCAGCCGACCAGAACCCCGCAAACAAAGCAATAAGGAAAGGAAACATGATGGAAAACCAACAAGTGAAAAAGATAAAATAACCCCATAGTTCAGCTTCGCTCTGATTGGGGGTTGAGATTTGTGGTGAGGGAGTTGTCATTTCTCCTCAGGGTTCCAATCCCCGCCGCATCGTCAATCCAAACCACCGACCAAGGACTGCATGAATATCTGATCAGAAGATCGTCTTGCAACCTTTGCACCAGTTTGCAGCCAGCAAAAACAATGATCATGGGCTCGACCATGGACCATTTCTGGTCTTGGAAAAGAATGCCGGCTCGCGGGGTTTTGCCCAAAGTGGCAAACCACTTTTCCTCTTCAATTGGCGCTATATATATATATATCAGTCCATCGCACGCCTTTTTGGGGAGGGAAGCCAAACTTGGTCGAGCCGCCAAACCCCCTTCGACCAGGAGGCTTCATCTTCGGCCTACCGAAGGTTCAGTCCCCCACCCGCACGCTTCTTTGGGCTCGAAGAAGCCAAACGGGAAAGCAAAAAGCCGACACATCATCTTGACTTAGACCCCCCAAAGCTGGTTGAAACGGAAAATGATGCAAAAAAAGAAACGGTCC